AGAATGACTGGAAAAACTGAAGTGTTTCCCTCTTTCGAAATATTTCAAATATATGTTTTGAGTTAGAAGTTAAAAACACTTTAATTCCGTAATGTTAATAAGTATTATGCAATATTTACGTAGGTTGTAAAAAGTCACAATTTTTCTTAAATACAAAGAATAACGTAAACCGTGGGATAACAATATATTTTAAACGGGTCCCCTTTTAAGTTTATTTTCGGAGTTCACTTAAAATTCTAAAATAAATATTTTTCAAAGAAATGAAATATTTCTTTATAAAACGTTTTTTATATTAAAGGCGTTATAAAAAATACTCGTTTATTTATATTGTCGGAGGATCGTATAAACTCGGTATAAATCAATGAAACAGCACATCTCGTTGCATTAAGTAGACAAAATGTGAGTTTTTTTGCAACGGCAATTAAGTTATCTTGTACAGGGTGGTCGGAATTGGTCTGTTTTAACAGAGAAAACCTATTTCCTGACTAGATAGAGCAAAACTGACATAGATGTCATGGGCTCGATTTCTGAGGAATGTTTAATGGCGTAAACCGCCTGTTGATATTTTCACTGCCAACTACGGGGCCTTTTTGGTTTTTTTACCATTGTGAAAATTGCCCATAACTTTTTTATTTGACGGAATAATAAAATTCTGTAAAAACGTTCTTAAGGCACTCTTTTAAGCAGAATCCAGTGGCGTAGTCAGCTTTTTCTATGTTTGCTCTTTTAGTCAGAAATAATAAAAAATACAATTTTTTAAATGAAAATCATAGTTGGCTATGAACTTAAAAAAATGATGGCGTTTAAGTTAATTTATTTTTATTAATTTTATTTCTAAGAAAGAGAGAAATATTAGGAGTTTTTTATCTTTATATCGAAACGGGCCTTGATTTTGTGTTGACCTATTTGCCTAATTATTATTTATCACAATTCTATATTATTATTTATCATATATGCATAATTAAAAACTTTTGAAAAGGTAAATTAACACTCTATATTAGTATTAGTAATTACAATTGAAGTCGATACAATAAACAAAGAACAAAACTAAAAAAACGTATTTTTCGAGTGACGACGAATATAGTTTTCAAAAAAAAAGCATCAATGATGTTCAAACAGCTCCTTGTTGAATACACAATAAACATCTTTTGCGCACAGAATTACAGAGATTTATTACGCGAACTGATGTAATAAGTCCAAAAGCTTGCCTAGTAGCCTTCTACAATTCTTCTCTCGTCCCAATGGTTCTTTCCTTATATATAAGGTCTTTTAACTTCCCCCATAAAAAAATCGAAAGGGTTAAATCACAGGACCTAGCAGGCTAAGATATGGGGTCCCTTGTTCCAATCTAATTCTCTCTAAATTCTCCATTTAATAGTTCAGTTGTAACCCTGGCGTTTTAATTATAATTGGTAATACTAATATAGAATGTTGATTTACCTTTTCAAAAGCCTTTAATTATGCAGATAAATAATAATATAAAATATTAAATTGTGATAAAAAATAATTAGGCAACTAGGTCAAAACAAAATCGAGGCTCGCTTCGATACAAAGATAAAAAACCTAATATTTCTCATATTCTTATAAATAAATACACATAACTTTATATCGTTGGAAAGGGCTAAACGCCGTCATTTATTTAAGTTCAAAGCCAACTACGATTTCCATTTAAAAAATTATATTTTTTATAATTTCTGACAAAAAGAGCAAGTACAGAAAAAAACTGACTAAGCCACTGGATTGTGCTTAAAAAAGTGCCTGAACGTTTTTACAGAATTTTATTATTCCGCGAAATAAAAAAGTTATAGGCAATTTTCACAATGGTAAAAAAATCAAAAAGGCCCCGTAGTTGGCAGTGAAAATATCAACAGGCGGTTTACGCCATTAAACGTGTCTCAGAAATCGATCCCATGACATCTATGTCAGTTTTGCTCTTTCTACTCAGGAAATAGGTTTTCTCTGTTAAAACAGACCAATTTCGACCACCCTGTACACTTCACATTAAAAGAGGTTCTAAAAAGAACAATGTTTGATTGCAAGGTCCGCTAGTAAAAATAATTATGCTTAAAGTATCACGAGTATTGTAGCTAAACGATTAGATTTTTACAAATTGTAAGTTTTGGGTTCGTTCAAGGACTATTCCGAAAATGACTTATAATCTGTCCTCTAGCATACGGTACATCTAACGAAAGACAAAACTAAAAGATTTTAATCCTAAGAAGAAATGCTGACAGGTACGATATAAGTGAGGAATGTCTTACGTAGGCGAAACAAAGAGATAACTAGAAATTAGCCTTATCAGAAAACATGTTTTCTTATTCGTTAAATAAATATATTATTTTTGTAATTCCTTAATGAATTAATGCTTCTTTACTGTAATAGGGTAATGCTAATTCGGCATTTAGACTACGAGTATAAACTAAGTTTTTAACTAAATTAGGTAAACTTCGCAGACAAAGCATATAAAAGAGCTCATTGTAAGTTCGTTTAAGGGATTGTTGTTACGTTCCTCTGAGAGCTAACGAATTTCGCATTTGTTTTATCAGCAAAGTTTTACAGAAATAACGGATTACAGTTAAATTTGAAAATGTCTTGAAGGTTATTTTTATTTTTTTTTAGTACCTACAAGTTAATTCATATTTTTTTAATGTGATAGACATTGATTCAGCATTGATACTAAAAGAGTTTCGGACTTCTTTTGTCTATTTATTTTAACCTGATTTATTTTAATACAACGTTTCGATCATATATACATACATACATACATATACGTTTCGATCAAATATATAATAACGTAACATGTTAAAATTTAAAATAGTAAAGCACGAAATTTATATATGTAAAAAAAGCTTTAAAAATGTTCGACTTTGATCTATATTTATTAATAATTTAGCACTCTCGCTATGAGATTATCTCACGCAACAAAGTTTAGCTTCTAGAGCGGCATTCTAATGCAAGTGAGACACTAAAATTCTCAAGTCCATAGACACAAGATGATTAAGTTCTATATCTTCAATTAACATAATTAGTCGTTTATTTTTTGCTAACTAGTCGTTTTTTTTGTTATTTGAAATATTTGACTTTATGTTGATTTTATTAAAGACTGTTTAATAAAAATAAGAGAAAAATGAAAATGACTGTTTTCTTTTGCCGATTTTTTAATACGTGCATAAATTTCAAAATTGTGTGACATCGCCATCAGGGGGAGGGGAATCTAAAATAGTGACAACCTGTGACAAGGACGGGGAGAGGGGTTCAAAAGTCCTAAAATTCGTGTGACGTAATTTATGGATGGCTCCATTCCATTTCAATTTTTTTTCGCGAAAAAAAAACACATAATTGTGGTTTTGGGGTCGAAATATACTACCCTTAAAAAGATTTGCACTTACTTAATAATTAAAAGACTCACCCTGTATAGGTGGTGGTTATATCGTGAGAATTTCCATACTAGGAAATATGTTATCATTGTTTGCTGTAAAAACGGCTTGATTGTTTCAACTCTTTATATAAAAAAAAATAATCATGCTCGTCGAGTCCTGGTAGATTTTATATTAGTTTATATGAAGGCATAATAAAATAAATTATTTTATACAAGGTGGTTGGCTATCAACTGGCTATCCTTAACAGTGATAGATATGTCTGTCATTTTAATTTAAAAGTAGTTTATTTTATTTTACAAAGAAATAAGTTGGTACAAGTGGAACACATAACAGGAAATTAATATATTTTAAATTTGGCTGACAAGTTATTACTTCAAAATATTGTGAAAAAAACTTTATAAAACTGAAAAAATGTAATCGAGTTATTTTATTTTATCTTATTTAAAAAAAAACGGTATGTGTTAATACAAAACAAACAAGAACAAAGCACCACATACCAAAAAAATATAAAAAGGAACTTTTTAAAAAAGAATTTCTTAATTTCAAATTTCAAGAAACTTCTCGCATTTATTATTATATTTATCAATATAACTTATGTACAAATACAAATTTGTACTATTCCACAGGAATAAATAAAACAACATAAATAAAATAAACTATTCTATTAATAATAAAATTAAATAATAAAAAATTCTATTAATAATAACACTTACCAAATTTTATATCTTTAAAGGTTGGTTAATTAACTTTAATCTTATTTTTTTTAAACCACTACCTTTTGACATCATTTTTCTGCAGTACTAAAATCCATTATTTACCTATCGTGTGATATCGATATTTTACAGCTACTCCAGCTTTTAGTATATGTTTAGTACAATCCTTGTACCATATACGAGATGCACTTATCTACGACGAGATGGCAGGTATACAAACTTTATTGACGGTAACTTTATTGGTGTACAAGACTTTCTGCTTGAGCAGCGAGTATTAACTATAAACTGTACTCTAGCTCTACAGTTAATTTTCCCTCCACTTGACTTCAAAAAACACAAAACACACGTAATAACACGAATCAAAATGCATCATCTTCCAAATTGCAGGGTACTTGACATAAGTTGAAACAAAATTATAACCTATAATTTGACAAGACTTTGACAAGCCTCAAAAATCTAAAGACGAGTTCATACGCATCGACGTCCGTTTGTCGTTCGTCGTTCCGTCAAACCAAGAAATATGATCTGTCATTTTTGAAATAAACCAATAAAACTGGTTAAAAACAACAAGAGACGACGTATGATAGATTTATATTTAATCCCATCCATAGTTAACTTAAAAAATATTAGAAACTTTTTAGTAAAATAAATAGATTGGTATGGGATGTCATCTGCTTTTCTTCTGTCATCGTCTGTGGAAATCTAACCTGAGAAAAAAAACAGAGTATAATACCAATCAAAATAGAAAATCCAGACCAATCTCTATTTTTTTTGTAGTATAGGTCTTTTTACATTGGTATTGGTTTTTTACATTTACATCTTTAATATTAAAATTCGGTTATTTTGAATTATTGTTACAAAGAATTGATAAACCTATAGGAAAAATAATGTTATCACTTATTTCCAGGTTTTGGACCAGGGCTCCCGAAATGCCGTCTCCATCGGGCACTGCCATTCAATCGGCTCAGCTTCTCCTTCTTCTCCTGACCTTCGTTCTCCCAGCACTCCTCCAGACCGTCGTCAAAACCACCAAATGCAAGCTGAGCGAATTTACCTGTTCCAACGGACGCTGCCTCCCGTCCAACCGTTACTGCGACAACAAGAACGATTGTGGTGATTCGTCGGACGAACCTCGATATTGCACAAGTAAGTGATTTCTTTTATTCAAACCCATCGATATTTTTGTTTTTAAATATCAGTTTAATACGGAATTTCTTCTAAAAATCAAGAATACAGCTACTGATGCCTCCCTGTTTACTAAACCTCTCTGCTGCCAATTTCTGTTTTGAACGTTTTAAACACTAAATCGTGCTTTTCGCAGTTTGGAGAGAAATTGACTTACCTGCTTTTTCCCTTACCCTCTCTCCTAACAAGAGATGACGAACAAAATATCTCACGAATATATATCATGATTAATGAATCATTCATAAATTCATTCATAAACATTGTCATAGTAACTTCCCTACTATTTTTTTTTCATACTAGTAATGCTGAACGAACTACAAAAGATTTTGATTATGGTTGTTTACCACATACGACACGGAGTATTGTAGCTAAACGATTAGATTTTTACAAATTAAGTTTTGGGTTCGTTGAAGGACTATTAGAGCTACAATTTAAAAATATTTTTACAAGATACAGAGTGTCCCAAATAAATAAAAAATATCAAAGTTGTATTTTTTTAAATGGAACACCCTGTATATTATTATATTTTTAGATTCTACGATTAAAATAAAGGTAAATTTGATTAAGGTTCATCACACTTAAACCTTACCGTTTTTCAAATATTTTTAATTTTATGAAATTGCAGTAAAAATTTTAAGGCTTCATTTCTCCAAGATTACCAAAGTTATTTATACTAAATATTTACTGAAGATTATTTGTTGATCAGATATTGTGTTGCAATAATAACAATTTAACTACCTTATAGAGAGTGTCCAAAAATTTATATTAAATAATTACTAACTTTAAACGACAATAACTTGTTTAATTTAAATAGAACACCCTGTATATTTTACGTGAATCAGATGCACAATTTAATTGTCTATCAGATTGTATTATACCATTTCTTACCTGTTTCTTCAAGTTTTCGGTATACTCTTTTACAAAGAGAAAAAAAAATAAAAAAACGAAAATCTAGGAAGTAAAAAATCTATGTAAGTAAAAAAGCAAATCTAGGAATCTAAATTTATCTATTTACAAAGATATACATAGTTTTTTTGTATACAAATGAGCTTGCAATATTATTAATTTGCCACCTGTACATTTTGTACATACAACATAGTATATATGTAATATATGTTGCTTTAAAAAAATCTGAAATGTCAATATTCTAACGATAGGTCAAATATCAATAATATAATGTCAATGTTCTATAAATGAAGTCTAAATTATAAGAAAATACATTTTCTACGAAAACTTGAAGATATAGGTAAAAAACGGTTTAACACAATTTTATAGACATAAATCTAATCGTTTAGCCACAATACTCCACAATCCTCTGTCGTATGTGGTGAACAACCCTGTATTCATAGCAAGTTTATACCTTCAATTTTCTCAAAAACTGCTTTTTTAAGTAGTCTGATATGGACTAACCTTATATGGAAAAATATGCGTATGTTCTGGACAATAAAATTTGCCTAGATATAGGTACACAAATAGGTGACATATTTTTGATTAAATTAAACAATTCAGCTTAATCTTATATACCTATGGTGAGGTATTTCATAAAATACTAGGATGGAGAAGAAATGTTTTCACATATACGCTTTTATGCTCTTAATGAGGTTGACTTCCCTTCTTTATATCATTGTATTTTGTCTTCTTCCACGTGAAGATACGTAGATTTTCTATTTTCTTTCTTTCTAACATTCTTTTGCTTGAACGATCCTAATACCTAGTTTCTTCGCCGTGGTCTCATCCACGCCACTTTTGTCATCATCTCCGTTCTAAAACATCAAATTGTCTACGTCCTTCAACTTCATTACATTTACAGACCAGTTTGGATTTCCTTTCACTTCTGAAATCTGAAATATCCGAAATATCAGGTTCAAGGGACAATACAGATCGTGTAGCTCGATAATTCTCATAAAAATTGCAAATTAGGATCTCTCCACAGCCACATTTCACACAAGAGCAACTCACCCTAAAGATAAAACAGGTTATTACTCATAGAGTCAATGTGAACATAAGGTCACATCCCGAAAAGGACAATGAAGCCATGAAATGGTATAATATATTCTTGAAAAACACTACCTCAGTAAATTAAGCAAACATCCACAAACATCCAAAAACACGCAATAAAAAAAACATAAATCACTTTTTTACAAAAAAGACAGTAGAACAACAGATTAGGTATCCTATAATTATACAGATAAAAATCTTTGTCAATGTATCTTATATTAATCAAATGATTAATATAAGATACACTATTTTTTAAACTATAAGTTTTACTAAATTTTCATACATAAACTAATTCAATAAATAAGATAAAATAAAATAACAAATAAAAGGAAATAAAACCAACATCCTTTCAGCATACAAGTACTTCCACATAAATTGATTTTTGATCACCATTCACATATTACGGTTTTATTCAATCGGAAACGATTCCCTTTAGAAACAAATTTTAAAGCGCTCGCAAATTTAAAGTACCGACACTTAATAGCGTTTTGAAAGTTATTTTTACGTCTAGCGGAATGGCAGCAACAAATTTGAATATAAATCCACTGCTTTTATCATGGAAATGTTGCCATCTAGATTTTTCATTTTAGTTTTATCATAATTGATAGTGGCTGCTTCTTTTTTATACCGTGCTGGCAACTGTTACTCTTGGGTCGGTATTTACATGTGTGGAAATAAATCGCATAGGGATCTTACTAAGTCGGAGTGAGAGAAATGCGACGGAGTGTTGTTGCGGCGTTGCCGGTACGCCTTTCTCTATCAAGTAAAGTAAAATCACGATCGCAAACCGCTTATTTTTAAAAGACATTTTTTTCGAAAAGATAACTAGATAAAATCATTAGAAATGTTTCTGAGAATCTGAAATGGAATTATAAGAATATCTTTAAGGTGTCATTTTTTTTATAACGAGAAAACGTCAGTAATCGCCATAATTTAAAAACTCAACTTTTTAACACATAATACGCCATAACTCAAGAAACACTAGATATTGAAACTTTTTTTATTTTGAAGATAGGATCTTTTACAATATGTTTACATAAGAAAAGATCGATAAGGTTTTTTTTATCATCTATTTACTTTTAGAGCATAGCAATTTTCAGCAGTCGTGTAATTTTTTTATTGATAAAGATTTTAACTTACTGTTTACGAAGAAAATGCAGCAGAAATATTAAGAACGTTTTTAAAAAAACTACAATCAATTATTTCTAATAGAGTTCGAGATATCGATTTTTGAATTCAAAGTTCTAATAGCCCGACCACTGTCGAAAACCAACTCAATTCCACTTATTTTTACCAAAAATGCAAGCGTTTCTAGCTTGCACTTAAAAATTTTCAAACTATAGGGAAAATTACAAGGACTCGTTAATAAATAAACAAATAAATTATCACGAGACGTAATTAAATCGTGAAGCTGAACGCATGATGTACCTAGAACTTTAAGTACCTTTCCCTAGAACTTTAAGTACTGACAGAGGTACTGATTGGGTCGACCGGTCAACTGCGACAAATCTGCTATATCCCTTCCACGTCTCTTAGCAATGTGCACCGTTTCTCGATTCATTTCATACGTTTGGCAACGTGTTCTCTCTTTGTTCGGTACATTAATAAACGCATTGTACTCTTCTTACCTACGGAAATCTCGACCCAAGACTAACCTTTACCAGCCCTTAGTATATGTATTATAATTAACTGTTTTTATTAGCAACCTGTTCTATTAATGTTCTATTCGACCCAGTGTTCTGTTTTAATTAGAAAATATAATAAACAAACAATTTTCAATTTGTCAAAATAAAAATTGTAAAAGTAATATTTTTTTGTTTGGTAGTAAACTTTAAACAATAATTTTGGGCAGAATTTTTTTTCCAAATTAAGTTTAGAAAGAATAATTGTTTGTGCTCTTTCATATATATTTTATTATTTTTAGGATGTAACCGCACATACTACGGATTGATAGGAAAAACTTACGATTTGGAGCTGCACCGACCCAAAGAAGACAAAGTACCGTTTGTCTGCCATCTTACTTTTGCTGCAGCAGGCGGTGAATATGGAGATTTAATTCAGGTAGTGTATTATTAGGATTATTAGAAATAGTACGGTATAAAACATAAAAATAGTATGTTATTTTATTAGGAGTAAAACTTATACTTTTTGAGGCGAGGCTGTATGTTTGATACCCCGCTTTAGAGGCAAGCCATAAAAAGAACATTTTTACTTCGAATAGATCGATGCTATTATTTTTAAACGTCACAAATAATTGTTTAGACAATTTCAAATCATTTTAAACGTCGAAAATAATATGAAAAGTAATACTCTGTAAGTAATTGTACAGGGTGAGTCTTAAATAAGTGCAAATATATTTAGGAGTAGTATATTTTGACCCAATAAACACGTCAATGATGTTTTTTGTGAAAAAAGAGATTTTGAGAATTTGGAATTTTTTTTAAAGTTTTTTGATTTTTTTTTACTTTTAACTTAAAAACATAATTTGTTGATCATATGGCAACATAGGTAGTAGACTAAATTTACAAGAAAGAAAACCCAGAACAGATCCAGTGGTTCTCAAAATAAAGCAAAAAATCCTTTTTTTTGCTAAATTTTCAAAGCCAAATATCTCGGTTATTTTGGACTTATTTAAAAAATATGATTCTTTTATCGAGATCTACCAGCCTTGAAAATATTTGCACTTATTTAAGTCTGACCTTGTATTTCGAGAAACTATGGTTACGCTCGTTGAATTTAACACTTAATGTCAGTTTAAAAATATATTTTTTTACTTTTGTGCTTAAGGGTAAAAGTGCTCTACTTTTATGCCTGAACGTTAAAGAAAGCAGCTTTACCCTTAAGCACAAAAGTACAAAAATATGTTATTAAACTATCAATAAGTGTCAAATTCGCACATTCATGTCACATTGTTGCTCGATAACAGCACTTAGGGGCCATAAAGGGTCATTACTACCGCTTTCCCGTTCAAAATATTCTAATAAGCTTGCGATGAGTTTTTTTCCAACGCCTATTAAGCTATCTTGTGCACTTCGCCCTAAAAGAGGTTCTAAAAAGAACATCGTTCGACTGCAAGGTCTGCTAGTAATTTTTTTAAGCTTAAAGTATCAACGCAATTAATTTAAACCAAAAACTCGTAATACAAAACTAAAGTGTCAAAACGAATGACAATGTTAGGAAATTAATAAAATGTGACATTTTTTACAGCAGAGCTACCACCTGAATCTCCAGCGGAAAATTTTAATTCCAGTTAGTCAGCCTGGCGCCGAATATATCCATGGTTGGCAACAATGAATTTAAAAATCGTGTCCTCGATTATGTTACTAAAAGTTTAATTGGTATCGCTTGTAGCTAAATTAAATTAATATTTTTTAGGATGTACTTAAACAGCCGTTAAACGGTAGAAAAGTCGTAATATATCTACAAATTCATTTACCCACTAGTAGATATAAAAAGCATTTTTGGTAAACTCTGTCTCAAATAGTTTCTGAAAAATTAAACAAATTTTCTTAAAAAGGTCCGATTAAATTTATATCTCCGAAGCTAAAGTTCCAAGAAAAGTCGTAATATATCTACAAATTCATTCCCACTAGTAGATATTAAAAGCATTTTTGGTAAACTCTGTCTCAAATAGTTTCTGAAAAATAAAATTAATTTTCTTAGAAAGGTCCGATTAAATTTATATCTCCGAAACTAAAGTTCCAAGAAAAGTCGTAATATATCTACAAATTCATTTACCCACTAGTAGATATAAAAAGCATTTTTGGTAAACTCTGTCTCAAATAGTTTCTGAAAAATAAAATTAATTTTCTTAAAAAGGTCCGATTAAATTTATATCTCCGAAACTAAAGTTCCAAGAAAAGTCGTAATATATTTACAAATTCATTTACCCACTAGTAGATATCCGACATTCTTGATCCGAGATATCCTGGGTTCAAATCTCACGCTGACCAAGACTTTTTTATATTTTTTTTTTGCTTTAGCGTGATCTTATTGCATTGGTTTCACTCATTTTGGTTGGATTGGTTTAGTTATTTGGCGGGTTGGTTAGCGTGATTATTTGGAGGGTGTTAATTCATTGGTTAGTTGGTTATTAGGTGGGGTTGGTTGGTTTTTACTAATTTATATTTGTTTTTTAAATTTTTTTATCAGTGTCGAGGTTAGTTGCGTTGGTTAAGTTGGTTATTTGGTGGGGTGGATAGCGTTGGTATAAAATTCCTATATTTCATAAAGCCGTCAAGTGCGTCACATCAACGACGTCATACCTATTAACGGCATTTTAGTAAGCTACCGTTTAACGGCAGTTTAAGTACAGCCTATTTTTTATTGAAATCTCTATAAAAAATATCCACATGTGGTAAATTTTCGGCCACTCTATCGCACACTATACCTCCTATAAATAAATTAATTCAAAAAAAATTCCGCATGTAATTGCTTTTTAAAAAATAAAACTTTTTTTTATAAAAAAAGGTTTAAATTATTTTGATTTTACGTTTTTTAAAAAGAATATTTGCTTAAAGCTAAATCGAGAAATTTGTTGTAACGAACCGTCATATTTATTATTTATTAATTCAGTCTACTGACAATAAGTCTCCTGCATTATTACATATTATCCATCCATCCATACATTATATAAAAGCTCAAAGGGTTTTTTTGTTACATCCTTCCCGCCGAAACCGCTTCACCAATCTTCATGATTCTTTTTTTAAATGAAAGGTATATATGTATAGATTTGTTATGCAGCATTTTTATATCGTTTAATCGCCATTTCTTTATGTAAAATGAATAAATGTTAAAACAGACCTGAAAAACACCTACACACAATACCTTGAGAAATTATTTGTCGTTGTCATACACTGATGTGTCAGCTGGATAATTGTCAGTTTTTATTTTTGTATTAGCGGCATATTAGCGGTCAGTTTACACATATAAATTACAAATGATGGAATTAGTATATTAGCTGGACAAAGCGATTTTAGGAAATTCCTCCTCTTAGACAGTAAAATTGTATTGGAAAGTTTGTTGAATGAAAATTTCTTGCTATCTGGTCTAGAAGTGTGAAACTTTGCACAAACGATCCTTGAGTGAACACTTTTTCAAGAAGAGATTTTCGGAGTTTGTCCGCTACATAAATAAAGTTAGTAAAATTTTATATAAAACTTCGTGAGCGATAGATTACGAATTTTATGAATTTTAAAATTACAAAATATTTTTGAGGCCAAAATTGATCTTCTTTGGAATCATTTGAATTTTATAATTATCAGAATTATGAGATTGTTTATTTCTGAGTTGATTTCAGAAGAGTATTAACAAAATGTATACATTTGGTATATAAAGTTTGCATAAGGTCATATAAAGGGTTTGAAAAAATAACAAGTGGTTTATAAATTTCCGATTTTTAAATACATAATAACGTAAAATGAGTCGAGGTGTATCGCGAACGAGGTCGCGAGGAAAAGCTAGTACTATACTAAACTGTACCAGCAATATTTTTTAATTTTCACTATAATCGCTCACAAATATCCAAACAAGGTGATTAATTAGAATGTAACCATTTTACGATTTTCAATTTTATAAATTGTGGTACCATAATATGCACATATAACGATATTGTAAAGTTTTATAACGTTGCTGTCTCATCTGGCCCGAATATATCACCAATTAAACCGGGGCATACGAAAATTTATAACGCTCTAGTTCCAAAATTAAATTCATAAATTGTGCGGCAATTTGGAAGGACACACGTGTACCAAAAGCAACAATTTCAAATTCCCGGTTAATAATTTCAGTTTGCTTATTTGATTTCTGTCGATGCATGCATAACAGTTATTTGCTCCAATACCGTTCGTTTTGCTGTGTTGCAGAAAATAGGCAAATCTAAATAGTTCCTAGAAGCTATGACCTAAACAAACAGGATTTTAGTAAACAATTATTGAATAAATGTTGTAAGAAATCTGTGAATCTGTAAAATAAATCTTCTGGCGTCGAAATATACCACCCTTAAAAATATTTGCAGTTATTTAAGACTGACCCTGAATAACTAGCTAAATGTAAGTAAATTACTACAACCTAACGTATATTACATAGTTATCAGTAAAAAGTTATTCCCTTATTTGACTTATTTCTCTATATTTTTGACGGTGATCTACCGCACCCTGCTTAACAAACTATTTTAGGCTTTTTCGTTAAATCGCAATATTGTCACTGTTAATTTAAGATCTGAGACAAAATATTCTTCTAGATTTACTACCTGTGAACAAAACGAATAAATAATAAACATCATAAGTCCAGTAGCAGTAAATACGTAAAAATTCTCAAAATTTCAAATCAAATTAAAATGTCTCCATTGAAAGGAAACATAGGACTGTCAAGCATAGGGAATCATGATGTCCATTTCAATGCCTCATGCATAAATACATGGATAGCACTGTTATTGTACTTCTTCCTTTGTATTTTTGTGTATGTTGTTAAAATCAAAAGGTGCAAAAAAACAATTTTTAATTTAAATCTCTATGTGCTCTCTATGAACATTACGGAGTCGTATGTTTGTTTAAAAGTTACTCTAAAATGTTCTGGAAAATATATGGCAAACAGTTGTTCTGCTATTTAGTGCCACAATGCACGAACAAATTTGAGTAAATTTCGTGACACGCAAGTGAAATAGTATACAGGAAACGTGATCGACATGATATCAGTTTAGCGTTCTAATAACAACGTTAAAAACTGTGGAAAATATTAAGTATAATATCGCTTGAAATCAATGAATTCTTGATTAAAAATTTATTACAAAAATATGAAATAAAATTACAATCTATATAATGTATATTCTTCGTATGTAATGTATAAGTTTTAAACACTTGTTTTATAGATCATTACGTCTAGAAAAAACAATTATTTATTTTTGGAATTTAATCAAGGCTTTTAAAAACTGTTTTATTTCTTTACTAATGTTAAATTTTCTTCTGAACAACAGTTTATAACAACTTGAACAACTTCTTTTTTGAAAATAAAAATTATTTTCCAAACCAAACTTATCCTCTATACAGGATGTTCCATAAAAC